ATATCTTCGCTCAAATTTTTAAAAAATTTTATTTATAAGAACTAGACTATCTAGGGTTATCGATATGGCGTCCAATAAAAATTGATCTACGGCACGTGATCTGAGAATTTTTTTCACCATGGCTAGGGTACTAGTTATAATCCATTGTAAAGACGTCTTCATATTGAGATATAACCCAATGACGTGGATATTTTTACTGTATACCTATAATTTAGACTTTTTTATGACACTTTAATGAATATATAAGTCAATCTTTTCTACTTAAAAAAAATTTTAGAAGTAAAACGCTCATATCAATATGGGTAAATTTTATATTTAAATTTTCGGTTTTTGTTCACCGAAAATTTTTACTTAAAATTTTTATTTCTAGAACAAGGAACAGCAGGGACACCAAATAAAGGAACTTCAATGACTAACTCACCAACAACTGATTCATCTAGCTCAACAACAACATCCTCAAACATGCCAACACCAAATTTTATGTTTCCAACAAATCTTCAAGATACATCGACGGCTAATTTTCCAGAGTTAATTAGACAACTTACGCAAGTTTATATGACATCCCCAAACATGCAGGCATTAAATTTTATGTTTCCAGCAAATCCTCATAACGCTTCGACAGTTAATTATGCAGAATTAATTAGACAACTTACACAACTTTATATGATATCCCCAAACATGCAAGCATCAACTTCTGTATTTACGGCAAATGCTCAAAATACTTCGACAGTTAATCATACGGAATTTATTAGACAACTTACACAACTTTATATGCCATCTCCAAACATGCCTGCATCAAATTTTATGCTTCCAACGAATCCTCAGAATACTTTGATGGCCAATTGTCCTGAATTAATTAGACGACTTATGCAACTTTATATGACATCTCCACAACTTGTGGCATCGTGCCAACAAATGCCCCATGTATCTCATCCAGCTGGATCACCTAATCCATTCCTCACACCATCACTTGGGTAATTGTATTATAAATTTACATAAAATTTAATACTTGACTTTAATTTTTATTAATATAAATTTTTACAGTGCAACACAGACATTAGCTGATATACTTCTTTCGAAAAATACGATGAAAAACGAAGGTGAAGAGGAGAAAGATAACATCGATGAGAGTAAAGACGAGGAGAAAGAGTATAAAGAAAAAGGAAAGCACAATTATGACATTGATAAGAACGGCTATAACATTGATGAGGATATAGTGCACATTTATAACATTGATGAGAGTGAATATGATGAGGTTGAGATAGAATTACCTAAAAAGCGAAGTAATAAAAATATGATTTAATAATTATGAATTTTGATCTTTGTATTTTTAGTTTAGTTCTTTTTTTTAATAATTATGGTTTTTTTTTTTTTTTTTTAGAATTAACAATAAACGAATCTAATTATTCCAAACCGATACAATGTGGAATCGACGAAATGATGCAAGAAATTGGTCATAACATTATTAACATTAGTTTATCATTGTGCGTAAATTCTCGTTCAAGACTAGAAAAAATTGAAATTTATCCAGAAAAGGGAGAAGTGATACTTAAAGGTAACAAGAAAAGCATTAGGATTGGGCATGTTAACAAAACCCTCACGGCAGAGGATATCAAACATACAAACTATCCAGAATTCAAACTTACGGATAAAGATAAAAATGATCCGATGGGGTTTTATGCAGAATATGAAAGTGGCATCATAACCAGCAATAAAAAAGATATCCTTGCGGGTAATAAACTTAAGGTTGCAAATATATACCGTGAATTTCTTCAATTAGATGCTCGAATTCATCCTCAAACAGATCCTAACATTTATTTGATTGCACCGTTTTATGACCCTAATTCTGGAGTTAAAAAAATCAAGTATTACGAAAGCATTAAGAATTATCTAAATGAACAAAACACTACCAAAATATTTGATCCTTCGAAAATTAATGGTGCCATTGATTTTAATTTGAATCAAGAAGAGCAAACTGAATCAAATAAAATGAAGTTCCTCAAGCCGATACATATAGATGACGATAACCTAGCAAATGATATCAATCTACAAATGACAAATTTTAATGAACTTATGAGAACATGTTATCATGCCATAAATTACAATGTTCATACTTTTTCTCAATCTGAAATTCTAAGACGTATGTCTTTAAGATCTTTATATAC